AGTGGCTCTGTGGAGTCTGTGGCCATTGGTGTTGCCAGCATGGGAAGTCCAGCCAGTCTTGGGCGGGGCAAGACAGGGCTGTTCTGGTGTGTTGCCGTCAGTGCTGCTATTTTGCCTGATGGGGGCTTGGGCTGATGAAGCCTACCTGGAGCTACTGTTGGCCTTGCAGCGACCAATTCCAGCCTCTGTGATAAGCACAGAGGCTGCAGTGCCCCCCAACTGGTGAGGAAGCTAGAGCACAGTGGCTCATTGTCATCTCAGCTGACTGCAGTAAGAGCAGGGGTGGGTCTCTTGCCCCCAGACAACAATGTTCTACAAAGCCATATATTAGCATATAGGGAAAGGAGTATGACAAGGATGTATAGGCAGTGATATGAAATTAAATACTTGCACCTGATTCTTATTTGTACTGTAGTATTCTCTGCTTTCTCAAGAGGCTGGTACACAGATTGCATTCCCCAGTCCCTAGGGATAGTAATTCCTTTGTTTGGTTTTATTATTCATGTGATTTGGTTGCCAATGAGTACTATACAGAATGTTTTGCTTCAAGGTGCAATACATTCTGAGAAAACAAAGTTCTGTGTGTTCTGCACTGTGGGAACAATCCAACCAAACTTAAGCACTTTGAAGTTTAGTTGGCTATATTGGAACATGTCCTTCATTTTCATATCAAATTAAATTGGATTGAAAAGTGTTTGGGTTTGGATGGCTAACACCTTATGTTCCTATGTCTATCCAGATCAGAGGGATGATTCCCTGACTGGAAATTTAATGTGTGTAAGTGGGAGCAAACTTGCTCCAACTGACAGCCACTGTCTGTGTTTGCTGTAACTTGGTGAGTCCAATAGGACAGACACTTGCTCCCATTGTGCTAAATTCTCAAGGCAAACCAGGAAAAACAGCTGCTCACTTGCAAGGCACATTCTTGGAGTCGGCCCTGGCCCCACCCAAAATGGCCACTATGTCCGCATCTGCCAAGGGATTGACCAATCTGTTGCCAACCCCGGCTTGTCACTCTACTCCTTCAAAGCCATCGACATTGAGTCTGCCCGATACTGGAACCACAGTGTCGAAGAGGCCGTGACGTCGGACTCTCCTGTGAAGAAACCCAAAAAGGAGAAGGTCCATGGGTCACACAAGGGCAAAGACACACACTCTAGCCTGCAATTCTGGGCTGTGAGCCCCATGCAGGACCCAGTGCATCATCTTACAGATGCAGAGACAGTGTTGAGATCACCAGACCCAATCTCCATCCAGTCGGCATCGACTCAACAACAGATAGATCAGGTGAACTCCCCGGTAGCGAAACTACACCATGATGCGTCATAACTTCTCAGCCTATATGAGTAGCACTCCCTATGACCACAGTCATGCTCCAAGCTGCGAAACAACCATGGGACAAACCAGCATCTACACCCATCTACTCAAGATGACACCCATCTACTCAAGATGACTGGACCACATGTATAAGGTCCAAGAACGGGGGACAGAATTGTTGTTTTCAAATCCCAAACCCAACTCCCTGGTGGTAAATTCCTCCTCTAGAAACAAGCATACCCATTCTGCCCCCTCAAACAAAGAAGGGAAGAAACTGGATGCATTTGGCAGCCATTTCTACTCCATGACAACTTTAGGAATCAAGAATGCCAATTACTTGGCATGCATGAGCTGCTATCAATATTCCTTGTGGGAGCAGATGTCCAAGACCATTGCTGGTCTCCCTACTGACAAAAAGACCCCAGCCAGGAAAATACAGAAAGAGGGTATGTTGCTCACCAAGCAACAGATTAACTCTACTAAGCACGTACTGGACACTTTTGCTAAGACTCTCACCTCTGCCGTGACACTCAGGCGACATTCTTGGCTCAGGTCCACAGCATTGAACCTGGGCACCAGAATGTGCATAGAAGACCTACCCTTTGATGGTGCCGGTCTCTTCCACTTCACAACCGATACAGTACTACATGATATGGATAAGAGCACAAAGGCCTCAAGAAACTTCAGCGTCACTACTCCCACTTGGTCATATAAATCCAAATCCTGGTCCAGGTCATGAACACGTAGGTCATCCAACAGACTGTCACCAGATCAGTCCCAGAGACCGAGACATCAACAGCTGAGCGGTAGAGTGCCTTACAACCCCAAATCTAAATTCCAGCCATCAGAGTAGCCTACCAGGTCTAAGACTCCGCGGACCCCTAAGCAGAAACTCTGACTCGACCACTACCTGTACTTACAACCCACCTCCTGGCCCCACCCCACCAATATCCGTCTCTTCCAACACCTCACCACATGGAGACACTTAACAATGGACAACTGGGTGCTATAATCTCCCGGGGGTATGCAATAGAATTTATTCATCTTCCTCCCCATATGGGGGTCATTACCACCCCTCCGTCAACACCCCTACTCAACAAGGTACAATCCCTCCTTCTCTAGAGGGCCATAGAACCAGTACCTCCTGAATCTCAGGGATATGGTTTTTACTCAGTACTTCACAGTAACCAAGAAGGACGGTGGACTTCAACCTATTATGGACCTGTGTTCACTCAACAGGTTCATCGGCTATCACAAATTTTGCATGACTACCCTGGCCAAGATACTCCCATTGCTACAGGAAGGGGTTTGGATGGCCACAATCAACCTCCAGAACACATATTTTCACATCAACATCAGAGTGAACCACAGGAAATATCTCTGCTTCATGGTACGACAGGCACACTACCAGTATACTGCCCTCCTGTTCGGAATCTCCATGGCCCCAAGAGTTTTTATGAAAACAATGATAGTCGTGGCAACTTACCTGAGACTCCATGGCATCGTTGTATTTCCTTACATTGACGATTGGCTTCTGATAGCAAATTCGGAAACCTGGCTTCTGAAAAACATAGACACCACTCTCTCTCTCCTTCAGGTGGTAGGCCTCAAGGTGAAGCTCAAGAAATCCAACCTCTCCCCATCCAGAGCCATCATAGACTCCACGGTATGCAGGGCTTTTCTTCCTCTGCAGAGGGCAAAGACCCTAACATCACTGGTTGACCAAATGATGTCCATGGATACAGCGACAGCCCTTTCTATCCAGTGTCTACTGGGTCTGACGGTGGCCATGACCACGGTATCACCATTGGCAAAACTCCAAATGAGACCCCTGCAGCTGTGGTTCCTGCGCTGTTTCAAGCTGGGCAGATAACCCCAATCCATGCATCTGCTGATACCTCAGCATGTCAGCCTGTCTCTCTTCAGGTGGGGACATGAACCCAACTTCCTAGAAGGGGCCCCATTTCAACACCTGATTCCTACAAAGACTCTCCCCACAGACGCCTCTCTGTGGGGCTAGAGAGCTCACCTCAGGGGAATGACAGTGGGCTCAGTCTGGTCAGGCTCCTAATGCTGGCAGCACATCAATTTCCTGGAACTCACAGCCATCCGGCTTGCCCTCCTCTTGTTCCTACCGACCCTGCAGGGGAAAGTTGTTTATGTTCTCACAGACAGTGACACAGTGATAAGTTATATAAAACGCCAGGGAGGGACCATGTCCAAGAGACTCTGCCTCCTAGCGATCGATCTGTGGTCATGGTGCATTCAACAGGGAATCTTTCTGATAGCCACACACCGCCCAAGGGAGCAGAATATGCAATCGGACTGCATGAGCAGGGGTGGTGCCGAGCTGCACAAGTGGGAACTGAATTAGACTCACCTCAGCCTGGTGTTCAACAGGTGGGGGTACCCAATGATAGACGTCTTTGTGACCAGACACAATAGGAAATGCCCGAGCTTCTGTTGCGGAGGGGGCATAGACTCTCTGTCGCTGGGAGATGGCCTTCTCATCCCTTGGTTGGGTGCCTTCCTCTTCATGTTCCCCCAATCCCACTGATCACCAAGGTGGTCAACAAAATTCCGCAGGGAAAACCGGAGTGCATCTTCATCACTCCCTGGTGGCCATGTCAACCTTGGTTCCTGGTCCTACTCCACTTATCTCAGAGAGAAATGCACCAGTTTCCCACTGCTGGGCCTCCTGATGGTACCTGGTATTTTTGGCCACTATGTGACTGAGTGTTGGACTAGATGAGCCATTGGCCTGATCCAACATTGGCTTCTCTTATGTTCTTATGTTCTTATCTCCTGCTCTCTCACTGGGGGAGAGTCGTCCATCACAATATTCCCCACCTAAAACTCACAGCATGGAGAATCACTTGGGCTCCTTCTCCGAGAATGTGAGGACTGTTATGGTGAACAGTATAAAACAGTCTATGAGAAAGTCCCATGCCTACAAGTGGGCAAAGTCCAAATCCTCTGCTAGGGACCATGCCCCCCCCCCAAACCACAGCGGGTCTGCCCCTCATTTTCAACTACCTACTCATGCTGGTGGATAAGGGCATGAGTCATGCTTATGTGCGGGTCTACGTAGCGGCTATCTCAGCCTACCACAATCGTACAGATGGGTCTTCTGTGTTTGCCCATCCGGACACTAAATGTTTTTTAAAAAGGTCTAACCCATTACTACTCCCCAGTAAGGGAACCCGTTCCTGTGTGGGACTTACCTCTTGTCCTGCATAGCTTGATTTGTCATCCTTTTGAGCCAATGACCATGTGCAACCTCCAGTTGCTATCCTGGAAGACAGCCTTCTTGGTGGCCATTACATCTGCCAAGCGCATGGGTGAGCTACGGGCACTCAGGTGAGATCCACCATACCTGCGTTTCCATGGAAAAGGGGTATCATTGCTCCCAGTTATCAAGTTTCTCCCTAAAGTCATCTGAGACTTCCACCTTCAGGCAGAAATCTCTCTTCCTACCTTCTTTCCTGAACCAAAGTCCGAGGCAGAGAGGCGCCTCCACCTATTGGATGTTCAGAGAGCTCTCCTGTTCTACCTGGACAGAATGAAAGTCTTGCGAAAGGATACTCACCTCTTTGTCTCGTACTCAGAACATGCAAAAGGGCTCGGAATCTCAGCTCAAAGGCTGTATAAGTGGATTGTGGAGACGATCAAGTTATGTTACCTCCTGGCTAAGCATCCACTTCCAGGTCCAGTCAGAGCGCATTCCACGAGGGCACTGGCCACATCCACAGCATTCCTCAAAGGCACTCCCCTACAGGAGATCTGCAGAGCTGCGACCTGGGCGACACCTACCACATTCGTCAAACACTACGCTTTAGATGTTTGAGCCAGGAGCCATGCTGCTGTGGGAAGAGCTGTTCTCCAATTGATGTGTAACTGAATAGCTGCTAGCACCCACCACCAGGTAGGCCAGAGCTTGCTACTCTCCCAAGGGTGTGATGCAGAGACCATGAAGAAGATAAACAGGTTACTTACCTGTAACTGATGATCTTCGAGTGGTCATCTGTGCATTCACACCACCCGCCCGACCTTCCCCTCTGCTGGCAGCCTACGGTCTTGTGTGGGTTGGACAATGGTCAGACGAAACTGGCGGGATCTCTGCGCCCGCCCTGGACATGCACAGTGGAGTTCCTGGGCATGCTCGGAGAGGGGGGGAAGATCCTTTAGGAGCTTTGAAGTCACCGCTTGGGGTCGGCACAGGCGCCTGGAGTCCCAAGGGTGTGAATGCACAGATGACCCCTTGAAGATCACCAGTTACAAGTAAGCAACCTGTTTTTGTTTCACATCCTCTACCACTTGATCATTTTTTAACTGGAAATGCCAGGGACTGAATCTGGGACCATCTGTATACCAAACGGTCTGCCACTGAACCACAGCCCCATGTAAACAACTAGAGATATGTCTGAAGATTACAAGAAGATATATTAGGAGGGCTATTCTGTGAATAAGATTCTGATCCTGTATGTTCTCTGAAAGAAGAGGGAATGGGACTGTCACGGGATAAAATATGAAGCTGCTGATGTAGCTAATTGATTTATTTTTCCCCAAAAGGGAAATGGTTAGTACAAAATAAATATTTCTTCCAAGTGATCTAATTTACTTGATAGAGAACATACCTTCGCTGCAGGAAATAAATATATTCTAACCTGGAGGTGTTAAATTTACATTGTTGTTTGGCTATTGATCTCTAGGTTCACCACCAAACATTTCTGTGAGTAGAACTGATAAGATTAAAGCCACGTAATGGAATGATAAATATGTAACAGGAGGCTTCGTTTAGAGGAGACCCTTTGAAACAAGACATAAAAGGACTGTACTCGAATCTTTGGGGTATAAAACTATCATGCTTTAAATTTGTAATTCAAAAATGTAAGGGCTGAAATCCATGAAAGGATGAAGAATCTTGCTAGTCACAGAAGTGGAACATTTTTGGTTTTCAAATGTCTTGGATGTACTTAATGTGGAAGTACCAACAGTACAAAATAACCTTAATATTAACTGTTTGTAGGGTGAATAGCTATCTGCCCTTCGAAGCATATTCTGACTTTTGTCCTACAGATAACCTGGTATGATTTGTAGTCTTTCTATTTGTTGTGCATGTAACTAGCAGATTCAGAATATTCCTTGGTTAATTGCCATCCCCCTCGCAGTTTCACTGCAACATATACTGTACTAAGTTCTGCTTTCAGGCTTCTCTGCATAGACTGTACTCAGCTCCTGCCTGCCCTGGTATGTCTGTTGGGCCTACATCCAGGTCCTCTTAATCCAAGGCTAATACATTGGCTCTCGCCTAAACCTTTAAAACCCCAGAACATGGGAAATCTTTGGGATCCACCACTCTTGCAACCTTAGCTTTGTGATTCCCCAACTCTCACCTCATGCTGTGTTAAGATTTCAATGCCAGAACAGGATCTGGCTTTTCTGATTTCTTAACCCAAATTAATAACCAGGCTGCCAAATAAGTCTGCTTTTTGGACCAGTCTTCATAAGACACAGTTATAAATAAGCCACATTTAAGATTATTAGAACTGCTGTCACTCCATCAGCTGCATATTCTCAACAACACAAGATCTGATGTGTCTAGTGGTGCATTTACATTCTTATCTACAAGAGGAGCCAGCACAATAGATTACATTGCAGTATCCCCCTCTTGTTCCATACCCACTATTTTGAGGTAGGCAGCAAAACCAAGATTGGCTACAGCCCATTGAGGCTTCTGCTTCAGTTTGATGGCAACATTTTGCTTAGTCCTACCCAGGACCAACTTGACGGATCTCAGCTCTCTGTAAGGAGAATCAAGTAGTAAGGAGGATACAGTTACACTCCAGTTTAGCTCAATCTCTGGCCACAAGCCATATGTTTAATTGTCATAGCATAAAGTTTTTTTTGAATGCATCCTCTCTTTTGATTCTATTGGATTTGGATCATGAAATAAATACCCTTAAAAAAAAGATTCAGTCAACAGTCCAAAGATGCACAATTTTTCTTAGTATCTTTTTGAAACTAACTATACCTCTGCCTTATTAAAGTTGAATACTACTGAAGAGAAACATGATTTTCCAGCTCTTTGCTCATTTGTTCCTATTATATTAGTCTTATGCCAGAGTTTCATATTGTAAATTGAGTTCAATTGAATTTCTGGACTAATTTACAATGGCTCTGAAAGAAGATCATAATAATTTAGTTCACACGCTGCTTAAATGAGCATACTTGCTGTTAAAGTTCAGTTTAAGTGGTCTGAGGATCACAACCTATGTGATCCATTTTGAGCTTCACTAATAGCGGGTATTATATGAAACAGACATTCTTACTACCTTAAATTCAGGTAACAATTTGGCAGGATTATACCAGATATTAGGCACATATTGGCTTCTCTTATGGTGGATATCAAGATGCATTGCCCTGAGAGTTTAATATTGACTAAAGAGAGTTCAAGTCCAATAGTAGTCTTGAAGGACAATATAGCTTGAAATTCTTGTTTCGTTACATACCACTGTAGATGTTTGGAAAGGCATCTCTCTTTCTTCTTGCTGTAAATGTTCCAGACTTCTGTTTTTCTTCGTAAATCTTTAGAGAATATGAACTTAGACCCTTGAAAAAGTATGATTTACTTTCCAGGAGAATAAAATATGGCTCTGATAGAACTACTTATTGTAAGAAAGATTCATCAGTTTGCACGTGACCTACCTTTGGTTAATGTTTTTGCCGTTATCAGGATTTGAGTTTGAAGTTATACGTAGTCCAAGCTTACTGACTCAGGATGGGAGTTTACTTAGTTTTCCTTAATGGCTGCCTTACTTAAATAATAGCTGGTACTTATATATTGCTGAACTCTATCTTTTTGTATCAAACATTCAAGTGGTAAAAACAAAATGGTATTTTCTAATCTTATTTACTTTTGTTAAGGATGTAACAGAAATATTACTAAGTTACAATTCTAGGATTGGTTGTTATAACAGACATATTTAAGGAAGGGATTATGTGTAAGAGCTGTATACATGTATATTCTGAAAGAGCTATCAAATTGCACTTCATGGCATTATAATATTTTTAAGCATATGAACCATATCAGTATTTAAGAACATAAGAACATAAGAGATGCCAATGTTGGATCAGGCCAAAGGCCCATCCAGTCCAACACTCTGTATCACACAGTGGCCAGAAATACCAGTGCCATCAGGAGGTCCACCAGTGGCATTCAATTTACAGGACCTCAGGATGGGAGATAAGCAGATTGCCATAGTCATGTTTAAAATTCTGTGTGCTGTTAAAATAACTTAAAACATGTCTCCCCCAATACATGAATATAATTTGTTCTCACATTTCTTAGCATATTCTTGGGATAGATAATGGGTCTTCTGCAGTTCCTCATTTTTGGGGGGACATTTCAAGCCAGTAAGATAATATAGATGCCCAGTTGAATCTTTTTCTTTCCTTTTCAGTAACAAAAATTTCCCCACTGTCATAGGTTCATAGTACAGAAGTAAACCCTTTTGAGCCTATTTGATGGACTTAAAACCATGCAACTCTGCTTAGGATTGCACTGTTAATCAGTTCCATTTCATTCTTTCTCATTCTAATTTCATTTCTGAAATATTTCCACAGATAAATGACCACCTAGTTTTCTTGTTCAGAGAATTAATGCTGTTTATTATGTTATGTTGCTGGGGCACTAAAAAAAATAAATGGATTGCTGCCAACAGGCACTGCAGAACAGTGTCAAAACAAGCAACATGGCTAATATCATGTTCTTTTAGTTGAAACTGAATCCGTTTGTGATGACAAAATGCAGTGAGGCTGATTTGCTTGCTTGTTTGCCAAAATGATAAATTATTTTGCAATGCCTAATGCTGAAGGGCATATTAAGAAATGCATGAGGCTCTTTGAAACAGAATAGTGTGATAGTTAAAATGGGCTAATATTTATCTTGCACTTGCTACCGTTTGACTTTAAGAACCTGTAGAAAAGGTCTATTTACTTTAGAAGGAAGGTGAATTGGATTTCTGCCAACTTGGTGCAGTCCCTAAATGAATATGTCAAAGGCAATATTGTTTCTGAAAAAAATAATTCAGGAAGCAGTCTTTTCATCTAAGTAGAACTTTTCATTAGTTTTGAATTAAATTTGAGTAATTACCATTTGATTATAGAATCATATCCTGCAAATGCCTTGGGAAGAAGTTTATGAGCTCGGTCCATGCATTTAAAAACTCCACTTGCTTCTTGTCATTCCTATGTTTGAAAGTATATCTTGTGAATGAGCTAGGCGTGTGTTTTAATGTTTACTGGAATTCTCAGCACATGAACATTTAAAATCAAAATATTATCCCCTTAACATAACCTAATATTATACAACTATACCCATGTGAATTTCTGCAGGAAGGGATATGGCATCAATTGTCTGATATTTACCAGGGGAAAATGACTGTTATTAGTTCTGAAAACCTGCTGCAGTTGTGCCATATATATGGTTACATGTTTATGAATCAGCTCTTTATTTGGGGAGAGGGCTCTTTAGATACGAATTTCTATTTCCATTTCTCATCTAGGTTTTAAAACCAATAGGCTGTTCAATTAGAAAAAATGACAATATAACAAAAAATATATCACTGTTCAATATTCATTAAAAACAAACAATATTTAATTGCAGCAGCTATATATTTACACACATATAATGTTATATTAAAATCTAGATCCGCTAGAAGAGTCATTAAATGATAGTTAGAAGAGTGAACAGGCTTCTTATTCAGATGAGGATCCAGAATTTTTTCTTCTCAGATCCAAATAAATTACATAGAAAAAGAAAAAATGCTCAGTAGTGTCTACCAAAGACCTATCACACATACAAACTGTAGATCCCCTTTCTTGGCTTGTAAATCATCCATGTTAAGACAGCAAGTGTAAGTTAATAATAGATATGAATTATAAATACAAGTTTTGTTCAGCCCTAAATGTATGACAGAAATTCAGACATTTCTTTACCAGTTGTGATAGCCATGGCATTCATTCATTGAAGGTCAAGCATACATGCATGTCAAGTGGTCCATTCTTGTTTTCATGTGTACTCATATGCTCTTTGATTCAATATGCTAATTCAGTCTATGTAACATCAAATCCCCTGAAGTTTAAACATAACAAGAAAGGAAAATATCAATTTGTCTGGGGTTGCCAGACAGTGAGGAGGAGGGCAGCGCCCCAGGAGAAAATAAATAAATAAATAATAAAACAAGGGAAGGCCTCATCTACTTACAAGAAGTTCTTCCCATAGAGTTCCTAGTGATTTCTGCAGCTACTCAAAAGAGACAAAGGTTAGCTCTAGGAATCACTGGGATCTTCATGGTAAAACTGTGAGTTCTTACCATAGAGTTTCCAGCAATTCCTAGGGCTGCAATCAGTGGCAACAGGACCTAGGGGTGGGAAATACCCTGTTCCCACCAGGGGCTAGTCAGCCCTGCCTTTGTTTATCAAAAGGCACTGGAGTTCTGAGTTGTTTTCAAAATGGCAATTGAGTGTTGAGTAGAAGCCATTCCTTATCTACATTAACAGCAGCTGGTGGTAATGTTTAACGGGTTGTCTCTGTCCCGATCTTAGCTGGTTTGTCAAGAAAACAGCTGTAGTGAATTGTAAGGCCCTACCTGCAAATGATGATAACTGGGGTTCGAGTACATATGGACTTCTTTTCTTCATAGAACAGCTTTTTCTAACAAGTGGCCAGTGATCGTAAGAGTTAATTGCAGTGTGATTGTTTGCAGTAAAATAAGTTTCTAGTCTTTCTAGCCTTTTACTTTCAGAGTTTATGGAGTAAAGACTTATTTATAATAGCTGTTTTGCATATCACAGTGCACTCTGATCCTGATAGTTTTTTTTGAAAAATAAAATAAAAATAAATCCCATTAATTTATATTGATCATTATCAAATGCTTCACTGTATTGCAGAAGAGAAAGCATTCCACTGGTAGCAAGTGTTCTGAAATGTTTTTGATTGCTTCTGTGAAAATAAGGGAGCAGAGAGGATGAAGGAGAGCAAGGGGCAGCATAGAAAATTTTATTTAACTCTTGTGGATCCCAAAACAGTAAGCTTCATCAGGGGATTTTTTTCAGAAATTTTCCAGTTGCCACCTTGATCAGTAATTCCTGATAGCGGTGAAAATAGTACTGACTAAGACTCTGTATTCTTTCCAGCTATAATATGCATATTTCTCTGTTTCCCCCCCTTAAGTGACTAGACCTGTTGAAAACAAGCTTTGTCTTGCTCCTGCTCCTCCATCTTCTCAACTTTGCAATATTCCATGCCCTTCTGAGTGTCTGGTTTCTTCCTGGTTGGCATGGCGCCCTTGTATCTATGAAAACTGCCAAGATACCCAAGGGAGAAAAGGTGCATGCTACATTATTTCATAACAGTGTTTGTTGTTGATTTGCTTGCTTGTTATATTTAGAGTTAGCAATTTACTGCATCTGCTCAGAATGTAATCATCTCAACAGTAGTACTTTGTTGGTTTTTAATTGCAATAAACCAAGACATTCTGTCAGTCCCATAGTCACCTAGATAGCTGGTTTGAGTCTATCAGTTTCTGATATCAGCATCTTAGACCAGGGGTCTCCATCCTTGAGGGCACATTTGAAATTTTGAGCGCAGGTAGTGTTCCCCACAAGAAAGTGATTGTCATTTTTTTAAAAGAAAATGGTTGTCATGGGACCAAACACAAAATGACTGCCATAGGGGGCCTGGTCCAATCTCAAAATATTGTAAGATTCAACAAAATATTAGGAGGTTCCAAGCCAAGTATCTTCCTATCATGGAGGCAGCTGTTTCTGAAAGTGTGCTCCCTGCAGACACAAAGATAATACCTTCTGGGCTTTTCCGAAGCATGTCCTACTCCAGTGAGGTGGAGGAAAGACAGGACAGGCTCTTGCTTTGATGAGGTTGTTTTGGAAAAGGGCAAGTGGGCATTAAAAAACATTTCAGTGGGCTCCACATTGATGTCTTAGACAGTAGCACAAAACCACAACACATTAATTATTCAATTACTGATAAGCCTACATGATTTTCTAGCTAAGAATCAAACTTGTTGATTTATAACGTTTTTCAGCCTTGAGACACAATGGCGTGGGACCAGTGATTCTTTTCTGCTAAATGGGGAATCTTCCACTGGGGGGGGGGGAGAATCTTTCTGTTGAAAGATTCCTTACTGAAAAGAAAGGAGCTTTGCAATATATTTTGCAAATATAATTTGCAGATTGTGCAATATCTCATGTAATCTGTTCTGAGGGTAAAACTTAATCATCTGTTTCTTTTTCCTTCTTAGGTTTCAAAATGAGGGAAAGACGTGTTATTGTGGAACCAGTGGGTACTTCTGGTGGTTGTTCACACTTGATAGAATCCATTCCATGTGAAAATCCAGTATGCTACCAGTGGATCATTTTAGAAGGAGTGTGTTTACCTTATAATGGAATATGTGGTCAAGGGACTCGTGTGCTGCATGCTGTATGCAGGAACTACATGGGTACGTAGTATAAAGGATTAATTGTAATTAGTAATTGTCCTGTCAAAATTCATGATTGCAGTCTCTCACATTTTGAAATGGGATAAATCATCCCCAAAGTTTGTTTATTGTGCATTTCAGTTTTGATCTTAAGTGATATGTCATCTTAAACAAAGAGTACTCATTATCATCAGTCTCTATTGGTAATGTTTCATTCCATCATTTTAAAGGTCCTCCTTGAAGCCTAACTGCCTTGCTGTGAAGATGAAGTTAAAACATAAAGGGAACTTTAAGTGGCCTCATTCCATTATAAGTGTGATAGTCACATGTTCCAGAGTGAAAATCTTGTAGAGCAAGGAGGAATCTACACTGTGATCCAGGGCTGACAGTTCTCTGACAGTTACATTTGTACAGAGACGTTTGAACAAAGGGACTCCATTCATTATAGAATATTCCCATCAAGTTTCTTCTCAACAGTTGTGGTGGTGTTATATATAAAAATAGATACAATCAAAATCAACTTAATTCATTGTATAATACTACCTGATATAAATTGCAGAATTTGCTGCTTTGTATTCCTGAAAATTCAGTACTTAGAATATTGACACAATAATCTCTCTCATCCATTTTTCTTATTAGAAATGCTTTTTTATGTATGCTTAAGAATAAGATGTTGCCTTGTCACTGCTGATTTATGTTGCAAGGTTTTAATGCTATGTGAATAAAAAGACTGTGCTGAGTCACGAGGTATTTACTTTGTAAGACATTTTGATCAAGAACGTATTCAGTTTACAGGTCATTAATGAATGAGCACAGCTTTTTATTTTGAAGTTTACATATAAGCAATGAATATTGCTTTCTTACCTATAATTTGAAAGTGAAAGCTTTGTCTTTCTTGATGTGGGCCAGTGCCGTTAGGTCACTAAGTTGTTTTATGAAAGGACATGATTCTCCAGCCTTTAATAATACTGAACAGTGCAAAAAATTTAGAACTTGATATAATATAATATAATATAATATAATATAATATAATATAACTGTAACAGTAGGTGATCTTCAAAGGGGTGATGTTCAAATCACAGCAGAATGTTTGTAGGGAAGACATGTGGGGATTAATTGTCAAATGTTATTACTATATAGAATATCTGAGTCCAAGGTACAATTTTGATTATTTGTTTCAATGACTTTGCGGTATGATCCACTATAAACTGAAGCCAGAACTATTTAAATTGAAGCAAATTAAATGTAATAGGATTTATAGTTAGGCATATGGGAACTGTTCTAAGTCTAAATATTTTGTTTCTTATTGGAAACCTCTGGAAAAGTAGATCAGGGTTGTCTTCCACTGGGAGCTGGCTTTGCCGCAGGAGAGAGAAAAAAAGCAACATTGTTTGTGTTATTATTTTACTTCTGGGAAAAACACAGAAATGATGTAGGTAGTCTGGTGATTGCAGGAAACTCAATGGTAAATTGAGTAAACTTAAATCTTTTTAAAACTGCCAAAACCCTTCCCTTCAGGGTGGGCTTCATTGTGCAGGTTGCCTCAGAATACCAGTGTGAAAAACTTTGTTTATATTCCTAGCTTAGGGTTGTTGTGAAATCAGGGGTAACATTTCTGAGGTAACTTGAGTAAATAACTCTGAGGTAAAATCAGTAAATACATAGACTACAGTTCATATGTTTCAGGCTAATGAGAGTTTCTGGAGCTATTCACAGTGACCTAAAATCTTTATGATGAGAGACTTATGTTCCAGTATTTTCCAAACACTCCAGTACACTTCCTTTGAGTTTTTCACTGCCTATTTTGTTTCCATACGGCTGGGGCACTCTATCCAAGACTCAAGCTCCTTTTCTAAACACACCAGTGCTCTTCTTGAATCTTAACTGACTCTTACGGTTTCACAACTCAATATCTAACCACACCAGACCAGGGATCTCTCCACTCTTCAGAGATATCTCCCTGTTTTGATTAGATAGGGAAATTCTTCTCTCACTAGAAGATCTATCCCCTTTCCTTGGCTCGAATGGGAGTCTTCGCCTAACTATCCACTCTTCTTTGCCAACCTCCCCAGAACTCTGTCTGTGTTAAACTGCTCTCAGGGTTGAATTCAGACTGGATTTCTCATCAGCATTCAGCTTTCAAGTCTTTTTCTGCTCAGCTGATGCTAACCAATCAGATCTCTTGGAGCAGCCTGTCACTCAAGGCCCTCTGGTTCTATGAAGAATTAATCCTTCACAGTCGTTTACCTGTTTGTACAGCACTTCTAAGCATTTAAAAGTGCAGTCTGTCACAACTACGAATATGCTAAACATTGTTTGTAAATATTGTTAAACATACGTTAAATATTGTTAACTGTTTGCTTCCCTTGTCACATGTACCAGCCATTCTTTGGTGGCCAGAGGTCAGCTAAGTCGTGAATTCTGCTCTCCATTTTAATTTAAATATCACCTAGTTGCCTCACCTTGTGATAGCCAGGTTTTTTTTTTTTTTTTAATTCCTTGTCAGACTTTAAAGTCAGGTTCCAAATGGTTTTATCTCTTACCATGCTGGCACCTCTGCTCTGGGTCTGGTTTTAAGTAAAGAGAATTTGGGGGGGGAATCTGTTTTATAAGACCTTCCTTGCAGTCCTAGAGTGCCTTAAAGTGTTAAGTGTTTTGGGGTGTCTAGGCTTCAATGGAAAGACAAAACTTCAATGTTTTGAAAATTGATGGGATTCTTGTACAAAGATAGAGCCTTCCCAAATATGATTTCTGAGACCAAAATTCAGTATTGCATATCCTTCTAACCAGCTTTTTTGTCATCTATATACTAATAGCCAAATCGGATAAATTAGAGGATACTCAAATCCAGTGATTGGCGCTGTGAATGAGCAAGACATATCTTTCTACAGACCTGAAAAAGGCTCTTGGTTTGCAGGAAAATGTGAAATCCTAAGGGGGCGGGTGTGTTAAAAACCTGAAAATAATTAAAAGAGTGCCTGTATATTTAAGCAACAGATTCCCTTAGTGGCTGCTGCTAGGCAACCACAGATTCCATGCTTGGTTATGTCAGTAAAAGGCAGGGGAAGGAGTAGGGCCCTTTCCAGGCTTATTTTTGGTCTTTGATGGAGGGCTCATTGGGACCAGGCCCGACTTGGGTTACCTCTTCCAGGTTGGGAAATTTCTGGATATTTTGTGGTAACGTCTGAGGATGGCAGGGTGTGGGGAGGGGAAAGGCCTCAGCTGACTATAATGTCACAAAGTCCACCCTTCAAAGCAGTCATTTTATCCATGGGGACAGATCTTTGTCATTTGGAGTTCAGTTGAATTTCTGGGAGATCCCCATGCCCCACTTGGAGGTTGGCAACCCTAGGCCTGGCAGCAACCACTGGGTGACCGCCTCACTTGCATGACTCAGCTAGGCCTGGCTTCTTGCTACTGTTCAACTGCAGATGCTGTATGAGGGCACAGTCTCCAGAGCGTGGGGATGTGTCGTTTGGGTTGGTCCAAATATTTTTTGGGGGGGCAGTCTGGCCCCAGTGTCTGCCTGTGTGTTTGATCTGGGTGCACCGCACTTTGGAGCAACTGGCACCGGAACTGCGCTTTGGACCAGCACACAGAATGTGTCCCCTCGAAGGGGAGGGCCCGCTGAAGACGGGGGGGTATGAAGTGTGGGGGTCCAAACCTTATTTTGGGTGCAGGGGGCACTTCCTTATTCAAATCTCCTTTGAAATACAGGCCTGGGGGAAGCCCTGCAAATTGAAGCTCGTGGCATCAGAACCGGTGTTTGGATTGGGCATCACTGTATGTCACCTTGCAGGGCACAGTCTCCAGAGAGTGAGGATGCGTCATTTGGCATGGTTCAAAGATTATTTTGGGGTGCAGACTGGCCCCAGTGTCTGCTTGTGTGATTGTCCTAGGGGCACTGCACTTTAGAGCAGCTGGCACCAGAACCTTACTTTGGACCAGGATACAGCATATGTTCCCTCGAAGGGACATATGAATGTGGGGGTATATGATATGTGGTGATCCAGACCTTATTTTGGGGTTCACAGCTTTCCAACTCACTCTCCTTAGTGTTTCTGAATGACTACACAAATAAGTAACGGATAAGGAATGAATAAGGAAGTGCGAATAAGGAACCAACTTTTCAACCTTCTAGTCTAGGCCACCTTTTGATGTCCTCAAATTTAAACTGCAGCTTGTTGCTTGAGGCTAGCTGATCTGATACATTCCAATGTTTGTGTTCAGCACTGTTTGTGCACCCTTCTCTTAGCAATGAGTCCAAGCGCTACTTTACATAAGTTCAAAATCTATTTGTATGTGACCGTATGAAGGGCACATTCAGCTTTTATTTTCAAAATGGTAATAAGTGGGGCCTTGCGCCGTGCTGTTTTCAGTTATTTTTCATAGGAAAGCTGTGATTTATTAGTGATAGGCAAACCCTCCTCTGTTTGATTAGAAACTATAACTGTGTACTTAAACATTTGAAAAGATTTTAGCTTTTTATGCAACCCTCAAGATTGTTCTAAATTGTACTGCATGTGTTCTGCAAGTACTTTATCCCCTGCTCTGTGTGCCTAACCCATCTGAGGAAAGAGAAAATTAACTTGTACATATGTATATGGAAACTTTGTGGCTTGCTTTATAATATTCCAACCATGCCCATTCTATGTGCCTGACCTCTAAAGGTGAGTGTGCTCATGTATATTGAACATTCCCAGGGGTCATTTCATAGAAAAAGAGCTAGGGGGACTCATTAGCATAACTCATTAGCATAACTCATTAGCATATTGACATCACCGGAAGTGTGTCATAAGGCCACACACCCCGCCCCCAACGGTCCCGGCCACCGCTGCCGGCCTTGCAGCTCCACTGCCGAGCCCCATGAGGGGCCCGGCGGTGGACCTGCAAGGCCGGCGGGAGTGCAAGGAAGCCCTGCAAAGGCCCTACCTGGCCCTAGGCAGGCAGGGGTGGGGAGAGGCAGGGAGGAAGCAACTTACCCGCCCTCTTCTCCTGCCTCCTCCTGGCTGAATGAGGGC